TGGTGGTCTCTTAGAGCTCGCGCTACAATTAATACTGCAGGAAGTCGTTTAGGAGAGAGAAAGAGAGGTAGAGAAGCGAACATACGCTACCATTCATAATTAATTCGATCGGTATCGATGTTCCATCCGTTTTCCACGTGGCTCCCCGATAAACTGTGCTCGAAGTTTTCTGGAATAATAATTAACCGTTTTCCGCTGATAGTTCTGTATTACGTGGAGTATAATGATATAGATCACGTTGCTTATTACAGATAGTTGTCGATAATATTCTTTGTGTCGATTGCTATTCTATAAATATCGATGCTCGAGCGTGGAAGTTACAATGCCGGAAAGTATTAATAGAGTCGTTACGCTGCTATCGTGCGCGTTAATGTGCAAAATGCAACAGTCGTAAACCATGCGGTTAAGAAAGTACTACAGGGTATTCGGAAGATGTAGAAAGAAGGGCACGATGATCTGGATAAATCGAAGAACCGAGCGAACGGATAGCTAAGAGCATCGTTTATTCCACTTGAATTCACGGAAATCAATATCGAGAAATCGACTTAACGTTCGCGAGCGACTCGTGTCTCGAGATCGCTTCGGATTTCCACTAATGTTGTAATACTCCGCTTTTTACAAATTCCCCCGAACGCAAGACTTATTAACTATTTTCTGATACAGTTATATACACAAAGAGACGCGAGCGAGCAGGCGTGTATGCAGGTTGGCGCGCACACCGCCCCGGGTAACTCCCGGACGAGCGTGTGTTTCAGATAACGAGCCTCATAACGCTTCAGCTCTATTTACATAAAGGCATTAATTAGAATATTATAGTTCCGATACGGCCGGCGCGCGGTCTATTGAAAACGAACGAATATAGAGGAGGCCGGTGTCGAGATCCGCGCGCAGATTTCAGCCGGCTCTCCGTTAAGTGCGGGTATAAAACGATCTTTCAGATGTTCCCAGAACGCGCGGGGTCGCCGATATGGTTTTGTTAGGCCGGTCGCGGTTTTATGGTGTCTTCTAGTTGTTGTCGTTGCCGTTGTTGTTGTTGTTGTTGTTGGCAAGCGTATCGCTCGGCGATCGTCGCGGCGGGGGCTTTTAGGCGTATTAGCGTTCGTTCCGGTGGTATAATGAAGTGCCGGCGTTCAATTTATATATCAGGTTTATTTCCTTACTCAATTAGTACAGTCCTTTTAATGGAAGCAGTAAACTGTACGGGCACGGGGAAGTTTTTAACGGCGGGAAAGGCCGTGAACGAACTAAAACTAAAACCCGATCGATACACCCGAAACGACCGTTTAGCCGGGTTGTTGATGTTTAGCTGTCGCCGTTTAATAATTTCCCCTATCGCACGGTAATTCATGCCGGCCGAAGTGGCGCGCGATTAAACACCGGTTTTATTTAATGAACGATTTTTCAAATCGTAATCGGCTGGCCGGCCGGCCGGCCGGCAACGCCGGCTTTATACGCCTCGTAGAATTAATAACGTCCTACTCGCCCTCGGTACCCGCGAGATCTTTATTTCCTTGTCAAATTCTCCGCCGACTCCCGATTCCCTCGAATCGGAAAATAAACGGGCCGTAATCGTTCGGGAAATAATGAATTGGAAAATAATAGTCCATAAAATAGGCGGCTGTTCCCATAAACATTTACCGGTTTGATAATCGCCCGGGTGTCGACGTAATTAGGGAAGAAGAACTAGAGCTCCGACGCGAATTTCTCTGTAATAAAAGCGGGTAGAATATATGGGGTAGGTCTCGGATAGTTCGACTACATTCTCATTATATCGCGGAGGCATTTGAAATTAAGTTTATTACCGAACTACGGGTTCGCGGTAATTTTCTGTGTATTTAATAGACCGATTCGGTTTTCTTTTGGTCGAACTGGATGTAGAGCGTTCGTGCTGTTCGGTTTGTTTTAATGTATCGAGTGCTCTATTGTGCTAGAGGGAGAAAGCTGACAGATGATTGGGTGAGATAGAAGTTGGGATTATCCCTGACGCGTTACCCTTAGGCTAGGGGATGCTTTCCCTTAAGGAGCCACCGATTGTCGAAACGCAGGCTAGTGTTCGACTTTCCCTTCGTTTAGATTCTTTTATACTTCTGTGAGAAATTAGCGAAGGAATTGTTTTATGAAGTAGACTCAGTCATAAGTCATCAAAGTTGCAAAGTAAGCTCAATTATAAGTAATCAAAGTTACAAAGTAGATTCGATCTAGGTAATCAAAGTTACAAAGTAGATCCAATCAAAGCAATCAAAGTTACAAAGTAGATTCAATCTAAGTAATGAAAGTTACAAAGTAGATTCAATCTAAGTCATCGAAGTTACAAAGTAGATTAAATCTAAGTAATCAAAGTCACAAAGTAATCTGAATCATAAGTCATCAAAGCCTACAGTTGCACCCTTAGCGCCTCTACAGAAACGTTTAGAAAACTAAACTCTGTATTTCCAATCATTAAGACGAAATACTGCAATATTTTCGTTCGTTTGGCGTTGCTTCGGTACCTCAGACATTTCGAATATTTATCTTTGCACGATCGAGACGCGGGTCATGATCGACCCAGCCAGCGCACGGTGGGCGGCGGTTAAAGGATGGCCTCCTCGCGCGATCGTGACTGTATACGACGTACGACAACGAGGTCATTCCTTCGTGCCATTGTTCGCTTTCGTGGGATCGAATGGGTCCCGTATTTATAGGTTACGCCGCGGCACCGAACGCCTACAGGTGTCAAATATATATGGCCGTGTTCAGGTTTCAGCGGATACGATCGCGGATCGATCGGGACACACGAGACTTTGATAATAGACACTTGTTGGTCAATTTGGATTATATTCCGTGTTGCGTTCGGTTAACAATATCTTGCAGTGGCCATGGGATAATAACGAACAACGCCGGCCTCGACGTGGCTCCGATGTCAAATTCGTGCAATTCAATTGTGCATCCCGGAAAATTGCATTCGTCGTTCACCGTAAGCGGATAATCGATACACAAATGAGAAACGATGAATAACTTTGAATTTCGTGATTGTCTAAAACAGGTAATATATAAATAATACCACGGAAATTATGCAAATGACATACAATTTGAATGAAATCTAGCTATTCAGTTTGCAGATTTTACAAATTGATCCATGAAAATTGATTTTAATAGAATTTGAGGTCCTGAGGTGAAGATCCATCGAGATTCAATACTTTATTGATATCTTAAAAATGGCACCAGTTTTTAACACTTCCTGTAGCTTTTAACGAAATCAATAAAGTATTGAATTTTCAGTTGACAATAGAACACCCGAGTACGAACCCTATCGTTTAGCGCAGTGTTCCCGTATCGATAAACACCGACATTATCCCTCGAACAAATTTCTGCATTACCAGTTCCTCGGTCAGCGTATACAAAACGTAAACGTTCGTAACTGTCTTATTTAGATGTTAATTACATGAAGTTTTTTGCCGGGCTCGCGCCGCGCCGTATTGAAATGAACCGTTCACGTGGGAAAGAAACTGGTACCGTTTCCATCGCGTGCAAAAAGTCACGATACACCGTACCCGCGGTATCGTGCGGTAATTGTACTTCCTAACGAGATGTATAGCAGTCACAATTTCGTAATGCGCCCCGGAATAATAGAAAGCCGCATTCCTCCGACGGATCTCTGTTACCCCTTATCAATATGAAAAACCAAATTCCTCTATAGAAGCTTCATCTATCGAGACTTCAATCTATTTATAATTCAGTATATTTATAATTCGGAATAATAGAAAGCCGCATTCCTCCGATCTCTATGTTACCCCCTATCAATCTGAAAAACCAAATTCCTCCATAGAATCTTCAAGAGTACACTTATCAAGACATCAATCAATTTATAATTCAGTTCGCCTATTGCTAAATCAATTCCACCAATTCCTCAGAGAAACATCTATTACTTTTCTAACAATTGCAAAACGAACCAGGAATAGTTCATTTCGACGTGTCCGCCAGTTCTATCGTCACCGTTCGCGTGAAGCTCAGTTCAGAAATCAGAAACGTCGAATCCCCCGCAACCCCTCGCATTTCACGTCGAGTTTCCGGCGACTTCATCGGAATATTCGTTCCCGTCCGCGACCGATCGTGCATCTTCCAGCATTCGCGCGGATAACGAGCACGCGCGTTCATCATCGGCGCGCGCGCCCCGGATAAAACAGCGCAGCGCTGTGAAAGTGATTGTGGGCGCTCCCGCGGAATTTATACGACGCTTTCCCCGCGATGAGTTATTGGCTTTTGCAAAATGATCCTCAGCCCGACCCGGCGTGGCGCGGCGTGGCGCGGCGTCTCGATGTTCCGCGCGGTTCTGCGGTTTACGACGTGCCAGGTTTCAAGCCGGTGATACCTGTTCCGGCCGCGGAGGTTACGGGCCAACCGGCGATTTTTCCTCCGGTACCTTTTCAGTTCTAGCGAACGTAACCCCTCGCAACAGCACCCGTAACGGCTGCATTATGCGAGTAATACGCGAATGAAGATTCGAGAATGGGCAGGAGGCCCCTGTCCGCCTCTGTAGCGCCGTTACTGCTGTTGTTATCGTTGCCGCGAGCTGCAGCGCCTCCATCGCTCTTCGCTAGATGCGTTTCCTGGCTGACGGTTTTAACACTGGAACCAGCTGGCAGTGACGTTCGCTGGTTCTCGGAGCCGAGAAACCGAAAAGCGCGCTGGAGGATGATAAATGGATAAAGTGTGAAATATTAGGTTATTGTGAGAAATCGGTTATTCTGTCTTCTATAGTTTCGGAAGATCGTTGAAGTCCTTTAACCCTTAGCGTATGTCGAGTCAGTTTTAAAAATTTTTTCTATATTTATTTGTAATATCACAATTGTACCAAAGGTAACATTTCAATGACTCCCAAATATTGAATAAATAAATAGACCGTCATGTTAAGCTGTAATTGAATGAACCGAGCATTTCGGGCTGCAAAGGGTTAATGCGTTTGTTAAGTTCTAGTTCGTAACTTTACGAAAACACTGAAGGAATGGTACTTTTGTTTGCAGGTTCGTACGCTGGAAAGCGAGAATGGCGGATGTCGTCGGAGATCGATACGATTAAGTGTTCCGGAGGTTCCCGTGTAAGTAACATTCCAGCACGGTAAGGCTGACGTCGCTGGTAAACGATCGGCTACTTCACATACGCGATTAATTACGGACCGAAGCGATCGGTTTATTAAGGCAAATTACACACGCCAAAAAAGTACACCGGAAAAACCGAGTAATCCGTATATCCTCTCAAAGTAAGCTGAGCAACGGTAATTACATGTCTATATAAACACATTCGCGAAGTCGCAAAAAGCGAGCAAGCCGATCGTTGAATTATCGATCAATTGGAATCGCGAGATGTCATCCGCTCCGTCGGATTACCATGCGCGTGCTCGCGTATGGCCGAGCACACTCGATCAAAATCGGTTAATGCCGCGATTTGCATTCGGGATTCGAGTTCGCGGGGCAGACGGGAGGGGAACGGGGGACGGGCGGGGCTGTCAATTAAAAACCGATAAGTTTCCAGCCGACGGATAATTAATGATGCCGCGCGGCAGATGACGTCGCGGCGTCGATTAAACGCGTGCAAATCGCGCGCGGCGGAATTATATATCTGCGCGCGGCGATCTATCGATAAAATAACTGGCCTGACCCAGAATCTCGAGTGTCACTGACAGATTGCTCGGTAAACATCGTGCGGATTCGACGGTTAATTATTATATGACCGATAATGATCGTATCACCCGTCTCGCCGGCGAATCGTTGGGAGTACTCGTCGATCGTATCGCGTTTCGCACTTGTCGGCGTGCGGAACGGTTCACGTGGCATAATTCAATCGAATTAGAGACTCGACGAAGGACAGATCCTCGAAACAGATGAATTAGCGAGTCATTCTTTACTCGACTCAGTTAATTGACGTGCGAACTCGCATTTCCTTTGCGATTTGCTTCGAGTATGATAGTCACGCGAGTGCTTTTCACTGAAAATTCTGCTCGTCTTCGAAGGAAAATTCACTTTCCAAATTCTTCTGTAGAAACTCTAGACCACATTGATTAGAATATCGATGATTCAGTATACCGAATCAATTTCTCAAGCAACGATAAGTATCTCTTCAATAATTGAGTCGCCCGGAAGCGAACGCGGTCAGCCGCGGAGAGCAAAAATCGAGAGAACGAATGTTCCGGCTTCTAAAATGATTACACAGCGGATTCAGAAGCTGGAAAAAGGACCTCCCGGCTTAGGAAAAACGAGGAACCGAGTAAATCCTTCGATGACTAAGAAGAATATCGCGTGCCCGATTAAAATCCGGAAAACTTGGAAAACATCGAGAAATCGAGCGAACCGCGGCGGCGTCTAAGCGACTCGATCGCAAAAGAATCAAAGAGTGCGCCGTTCCGGGGAGTTAGTCGCAGCGTGAACGGACACGGGAACGATTGCCCGGAGATGCGTGCCAGAGATAAACGTGGCCAGTCTAAGCTGTAATTAGTTTAAGCGTTAAAAACCGATAGAATGCAGAAGAGTTGTAACATTATAATTCCGCGGCCGGGGCGCGGCGCGGCCGCATCGGTGTTTATAGGAAACCGCAAGAAGGGATTAGCGGCGGGACAAACTTATGCTAGTAGCCGATAAAAAGTTCCACCAAACTCGAGTGGAGGTTTCTTATCTCCGGCCGCGGCACGCGTAATTACATTGTATGACGCGGCGAGAGGGACAGAGAGCGGGCGGCGTGTTCCCCTCTCGCGCGCCTATTATTTCGCGGGCTCTAATTTACAGCTGGCCACCTAAGTAAACCCGTCTGTTAATTTAAATTCCGCGCCGAAGAAAGGGAGCACCATTAAGATTAACGATAAAAACGGGAAAGTAACTCGTTTAATGGTATCGGCCACTCTCGGCCGGAGTTGGACCCGCGGCCGGTCCCGGCCCACACAGCCCATAATCCCGGTAGTCCCGGGATTATTAAAAAAAGACTGAATAACTCCATTAGTTTCCACGCGTTGTCTATGATACAGAACTCGTTATTAACCAACGGGGCTAATTACTTTCAATTCCACGGCCGAGGGGGGAACCGAATCGATTAGCATTAATGACGGAAAAAACGGGAAAGTAATTTGCTTAAGCCACGCCGTCTAAGCAACGGCGCCCGGATTACGGCCGCGTTTTCAAAACCTAAACGGCCCGGCCGTGAGCCTCTCTCTTTCCCACGGGCGTTTTCCGGATCGTCACCGTGCGTCGTTTATCAAAGCTTCACGGGTCGCCGTGCTCTTTGTGAAACGAATGGACCGATTACACAACGGCGCGCGTTAATAGCAGGGAAATAAGAGGAAGCCACGCGGTGATCGGCTTATACACGGTTTTTCCCGAGTGTTAACATTTCGAGATTCCTCGAATCGAGGTGTTTGGAGAGTTCTAGGTTGGAGCGATAAAGTCGCTCGAGTCAAAGTCCAGGAAACTTGGTAATTAATGCTTTGGCTTCTGAAATTATTATACTATAGAAGGTAGAACTTTTCGAGCTAGACGAAGAGTTTCAATATTATTCCTGACTTCTTATCGCGAAGCTACAGCCACTTTTACGAAAAGATTCTCAAATGAGTTGTAGCGTCGCGTTAAAGTGTACGTTAATCTGAACGAACGTATCCTTATAGGTTCCCCGAAGTAATAAAAGCTACTCGATTCGCTGATTCGGTAGTTCCAGCGTGACGGGGTTCTATAAAACTCGGACACCGAACAACGGCGAGAAATCCGAAAAAACGTCCTCCGTATTCGAAGCAAATTACCTCGCGTTCTTTTATCTATCATTAACAAGGATGAAGTCACTCGAGAGTTCCCCGGAACGTCGCCCGTAGCGACCGAACAATGACGATTCCTGAAAGAAGAAACGCGATCTGCCGGTGTGCGGTCATCACGCCTCACGCGCGATCGGCTGCGCTGCGCAAACAACGCGTCAAAAATGCCCGTGTCCCCCCGTGTTTGATTTTGTGTGTTGCCTCGGTGAAAAAGGAGGCAGGGGACGGAGAGGAAAACAGAACGGTGAGAAAGAATCGCGTCGCCGAGGCGAGACGACACGGCGAGTACGTCGATATTCCATGGTTTATTTAGTCATTCGCGCTTATACCGAAATGAATAGAGGCAATTACCATGAGCGACGCCGGCCGGCCGCGTGGAACACGCGCAGTCATCGCAGCTGAGTTCATCCGTAAACTTAATACCATAAGATGACAGTGGAAACGATGCAATTTAGTGCATCGTCTCGGTGGCGAGCGCGATCGTTTTCGTCGCTTCAACGTTCGCGTCCGTGAATGTTAATTTAACGACCGTTAAAATAGTCGGCCGCGAACACGCCGTAATTCATATTAATATTTCTATTAAATTAACGGCACCCGCATTAATTGAAATTACCATCGGGCCCGGGGGGTGGAGGGCGGCAAGGGTGGAAGGCGACTTGTCAAAACGCCACCGCCATTAAAACCGGATTTTATGGATCATATCGGAGTGGCCGCTTTATTGGATGTTTATTATGGCGTCCGGCGTGTCCGGCGTTACGGCCCCTCTCGCGGATTTTTTCCGATCCGCTGATTTACACCAGGAAACTCTTCGCGGCCGGTGTACGCGCCGGATACCCAGCAGGAGCGGACGGACACGCCTCGCGTTCGATTTACGTCCGAACGCGATTAGGGATCGATAAAGGGACCGTGGCCTCCGCTTATCTCGCCGATCGACTGCCCCGATCCGTCTTTGTGTTTATCGCTCGTCCGCGACCATTCTCACGACAACCCTTGTTAACCCCCGACCAAGCGCGACGCGTGTTGCGCTAATCATTCGCTGGTTAGCTGGTTTCCGCGAGTTATCTCGTTACTAGGGAATTGCAAGGTTGCTTTGTTTCTTCGCCATCTGTACGGATATCTCTTCACCAAAATTACCTTACAGCTAATATTAAAACAAGTCAAAATCAAGCGGGTCTTTTAACCAGTTAACTGTGTTTGACGAGTATGGCGGCTGTTGTAATGAAGTTAAATAAAAATTAATTTCTTTATTTAACTTGAACGTACATAGTTTGCATGCGTTGTGCGTTCTCGTCGCTGGTTGGAGTATCTATGTCTTATGGTAAAAAGTCTGTATTAGGTGATTCAATGGTGTGTTTATCATTGGATTTAGGTTAATCGGTCGCGTTCTTGGAAATCCGGACATCGCGGAGAAATTAAAGGGAGAAATGTAATTTTGGTTTGCTCTGCGGTCGGTCTATTTTCGTCTCGGACATGTCGTTTTATTATGTCTCGCGTATTTATGGACGCTATAAAGACATAAGCATCAACAGTCCGTTTATGATCAACATATTCTACTTGGTTGTATATCCGATACTTTCTAATTATTTCTACTTACCTCTTCCTATAATATTTTATAGCTCGCTGACTAAACAGTCCACGCCGCTTTTTCTCCCTCTCCTCTCTCCTTCGATGTAGCAATTACTTTATGACACACGAATGAATTAAACTGCGAGAGTTATCGGTCAACCCGATGTTTCATTCCATCCCATCGTCTCCTATTAAGAAAGTGGTGCTTAGAAAGTACTCAATGTCCCTGTAATCGAGGAACTAATGAAAGTAATGCTCTCGACACTAAAACTACGGAACGGATCGGAATTTCCCGTTCCTGATTTCGTCTTGTTGCGATTATCAAATAGATGACAGATGATTCTACGAGAAATTATTCAAGAAATCGATCTAGCAATACGCAGATTGAATTTTAAATAAATTGAAGTCTCAATACATGCAGACATTATTTCCATCTTTCACGTCTGTCAAACAGGTTCAATGAAAATAGCTAACAAATAAAATGACTCCGTATTATACTACGCCACAGGACGATACATTTAGTCTCATCAAATACATCAAAATTCGACGCTGCATACTTCCTTTTTCGAACAATTGCGCAGAAAAGAAACGAACGAAACAAAGTCTCCATTGAACTTGACGTTCTTTGGAGAATTGCGCAGAAAAGAAACGAGCAAGACAAAGTCTCGACTCGACGTGATGCAGTGCATCGTGTGCCATTCCGCATCGCGCGTCATTGGACAATATATCCGGAACAGCTTACC